GAGGCGATGTCGCAGGTCCATGTTCTGTGGGGGGAGATTGGTTAGTGGATGGGAATGGGGAAGGGAGATTGGGTAATTACTTTGTTCGACTGCTGCTTCTGCTTTGATGTTAGTATCTCAACACCAAGTTTCGATACAAAGATGCTCACCTAGTCGGAGCTTGCGAAGAACTCATCCCTAGATCACCGCCGTGACTTTGCCAACCTCCAACGTCATACCCGCTAGCTACTGGCTGTTGGTATCCAGCAGTCGGCGCAACATTGACAGGTTGCACGTAGTAGTCTGGAATGATCTGGTACGGTTGAGGTGGGTAACATTGATACTGTGCGTAGTATGTGTTGATCTGGGATTGTGTGTATTGAGGTACTGATGAAGCTGGGTAAGAGGTTTGATAGTTGTAGTTCCCCTGGTCAGAAGAAGAATACTGGTGTTATTAGTCGAAGCAAGTGACGACGAACAGATTAAGTTTGACTTACGCTGTATCCGGACATGGCGGGCGAAGGCGGTTGTTCCTGCTTCGGGCGTATCGTCTTCGTCTTCTTCGTACGGCTTGTAGTGGTGGAAGGGCGATAGACGGGCGCCACGGGCGAAGTGATGATGCGTAGCTTGTTTGGTCTGAATGCCTTTCTTGTACTAGAGACGGAAGTACGTCTTCGGGGACGAAGTTGAACTTGCTCGAGAGATCTATGAAACCGGTGTTAGAAGTTGTCGTTGATGATGCTGTTGCTTTTGCTATCCTGGCATGCTTTCGAGTCTTATATGAAGCGAGCATGATAACTCGTTCCCTCATATCGGCAAAGACCTTTCACTGCCACCCCAGAGCTTATGCTATAGACCCTCAAGAACCGCATCGACTCACAGGTATTTCGGAGGGAATGAACCGTCCGGGCGCCCAAAGCCATCTCCCTGAGGGCCGTAGTGTGCCAACATGGCGATGACGAAACAAAGTTAGAAGTGTCGTAAGGCGAGAAGTCGGATCAGGTTGTGGATTCGCTCGACAGGGCTTGACGATCGCGTCTTTGGTAAGCGTTGCGATCTCCTTGTACAAGGACCGCTACGCCAGAGGCCAAATGTGTGAATATAGAAGTCCAAGATTGCTGAGGTGGATGCGTAGGATGGCGAGGCGAAGCCAGTACCAGCTTGGTGGTACCCCACACAACTAATCGGTATAGGGCTGACGACAACTAGTGTCCGTGCCGTCACCGGAAAATGGAATTGTAGGGTCTGGTCGCGGCGCGGGTGAATCAGAAGGCCTAATGTTGTCGTATGCTGTGGGAGAATTGAGGCGGTGAAATAGTGGTCTAGGTGTAGAGGTAGGAAGCACAACGAGGACACTGGTAGATCTGTGTCGTCTTATGGCGATGCAGGGCGAGTACCCCTAGGCCCCGATCCAACTTTAATTGAACTGTACCATCTCTTTCATTTGTCGTTGTCATGGCTTGGCAAGGCAAATAGCTAGAATAGTCCAATGCGTACACGTTGGTGTTCTGATCTTGGTGTACCGGGATATATGATAGGCATGGTTCACCGATTAACACACATGCGGGTAGGTCGATGGGCCCCGTGTGACTGGATGTGCATGCGTGGCTCTTGTTCGCGTACTTTCGTTCCGCGGTGTAGGAACGAACCCCTGCTACGCTGCAGAACGTGGCCTGGAGCCTAGCGATCGGCCTGAGGTCTATCATGTTCGACATGGTCGTTTCGCGATGCTCCAGGCTTTTCCAGCTGGCTCTCGGCAACTCACCCGACCACTTGATCGCTCGAAATCATCGGAGCACTTGTGATGGCCACATGCCTTCGAAACGCATTGAGATCAAACATTGCTTGACCGCCCGTCTCCAAGTAGGTTAGCCGTCATCAAACGCCCATTTCGCGTCTGGTCTTCGTCTGTCTCTGCTGCTGCTGTAAGTGGGTCAATTAACCCGCAACCCGATGGACTTGGACCGGCGCACGAATGCCGTAAAATGATTGATGCAGTAACCGCTCAACTCAAAGTCATGCACGAGTTAGTGCTGCCGGGCGTAACGGGGCGTAACTGAAGCTTGAACGTCGCGGAAGGATTCTTCGCTTAGGCGGCCAGTGACATGCGACCAGCCTCCTCCTGCAGCCCTGTAGGCTCCACCGATTGGGGGCGGAACCCAGTGTAACGTCGTCTGGACCAATTGAGCACATTCCGCAGCCGTTAGCCACATCATGTCAGATTACGCCCGGCGCTCAGACCGCTACAACATCCTTGGACGGCCAAATTGTCGCGGGCGGAGGGCCTGCACTTGGCAGGTGAGCCTCAATAAGTGCTATTTGATCCATGCATAATTGTCTCACCGTGACTTACACCTCGCGTGGTCGGTCGGGTGCCTGCGGGCGGACATTAATACGCACCGAAGATACCCTCATGGAAGCGATTCAAGATCCGAAGAGCAAAAGTTGTTTGCCCTCAACGGGACCCATTCCAGGACTACCTAATACTTAATCTTAATACAGAACTCAATTACCCCAAGCCGAGCATGCGGGTCGGTAAGAAGAAAGCAGCCGACTGCTCATAGCTCATCTTCCAAGAACTTGTAGGCAAACCGGAAGTCAGCTTTCCTACGGTTCATCCTGCAATAAGGTTAGCACTGTATGACGTGCAGAAATAGCACGGCGTGGCGCGAGTTTGTAATACGGCAGCCCCGCGTAAGGCTGGTGGACAGAATTAGGTGCTTACCATGTGCTCTCATAGTCAAAGAAGCGGTACGTCCCCTGCTCGTAGTCTTCCGTGATTGCTTTTGGTTCTTCGTGGCGTTGGAACCATGTTTGATATTGCTTGTGAAATCTCCAGCTCTGCGACTTGAGTGCCTTTGCAGCCAGGTATTGCTGGTACGTGCCTTGGCGGTAGTAGAAGGCGTAGAAGAGAGCGTCGGTCTCGATGCGGGAGTACAAGCGAGGATCATCGAAGATGGGTAACGGCTCTTGCGGGTAGTGCGCGGGCGTAAACGGATAGGGATTCTGGGGTCGGTAGTGGCGCGGCGCCTCAGTATCCGCAGAGTCCGGCGCGGTGGCCATGGATGCTGCTAGCATGTGCTCATTCGGAGGTTTCGAGGCAGAGGCGGATATGTCGTTCTTGGTCGCCTCGAATGTGTCCAGGAGGTCCTGCAGGCTCGACGGTAGATGATACACTGATTCCTCTTCCTCCTCTTCTGCATGAGAATCACCGTTCGTTAACGGCGGGGTGGCAGCCGATGACTCCTCCTCTTCTACAGGCTCGGGAGCGGGTGTCCTTCTGCTGGACTTCGATGCGTCTTCCGACGAAACGGCGCGCGAAAGGGTCTCCTTCTCCGCAGCAGGCGTCACGGGTATACTTGCCGCGGGAGCTGGCGATGCTTGTGCGGATTCGGCTGGCTGCGCGCGCGAGGCCAGTTGGGAATGTGTTATTGCCGGGGAATTCGCTGCACTTGCCCGTGCGCCGCCAGGAATGAGGCCTGACTGTGCTGCGGCCCCTCCCGGTGGTGGTGGCAGAGGAGCAATGCCCACTCCATTCTTATCGCTCGCGGCTGCAGCAGCGGCGGCCGAGGCGTACTTTAAGGGCTCGCCCGGCGTCCTTGTCGGTATCGGCGCGGGCTTCATCGCGTTGGCCGTGGTATTTGAGACGCCAGGTAACGGCGTGTGCAATGTTGCTAGTGCTGGTAATGGCGACTTCATCTGTGTCGAGGGCCGTCGTGCCTGTTGTTGTACTGCCTCTGTCGCTTTCGGCTTGGGTGCTGGCGGTCGCACGTCTGACTCGGGTGTGTCGTCTGCTATCGACTGCGACTCGTGTGAAGACACATGGTCCAGGTTCTCGCCCAGGCCAAAGATGGCCTCCTCCTCTTGCAGGTTGAAGTCGTCGTATATTGTGTCGTCGTCCATGAACTCGGGGTCCTGATTGCTCTCGACGTAGTACTTGATGCTGTCCTCAATCTCCTTGACCTGTTCCGTCTCGACATTGCCATTCTCCAGCGCTCGATGCAGCAGGTCCAGCTTGCCCTGATGCCATTTATTCCGCTCGACCGACTCTTCCAGCTCTGCGACTCGCTCTGCCTTGGAATTGTCCCCCTTCTTCGTCTTTTTGACGTTGGCATGTAATGTCTCGATCTCGGTCTCGATGGTCTCTATTTGGCGCTCCAGCTCCTCGTTCATCTGCTGCAGGAACTCGACCATCTCCATCTTCTCCTTGTCCTTGGGGTCGATTTTGGACGCTAATTGCAGGCCTTCCTTGGAGTATGCTTTCGTCTTCATCTCCTTTTCGACGGCCTTGAAGCGCTCCATTTGCTGTCACATGTCAGCGTCCCATCATGCCGGGAGGCGGCGGTCAGCCTACTGTCTCGATGAGCTTCCGGTGGTCGAGCAACGGCTTCTTGTCCTTGATCTCGGACATGGCGGCCCACGTCTTGATCTGGTCCCGCGAGCGCTGCAGCTTCTTGATCTCCTTCTTCAGCTGGTCCTCGAGCTTCTCCTTCTGCGAGGGGTTGCCCGTCTGCATAATCTTCTCATATATGTTCTCGAACGTCGCGACGCCTTCGGCGACTTTCTTGAAGCATTTGTCGATCTCCTGCTGGAGCTTGCGGGCGGCCATGGCGAGGGTCGAGCCTCGTCGTGAGGACTTTCGCGGTGGTTACGGCAATGATTGCGGCGCCGGGGGTGGCAGCGGCCGGGAGACAGTCGAATCGCGCGAGTGAGGGCGTTCGACGGGGAATGGCGTGGATGTTTGTCGTGGGCTGAATGCGGAGGCGGACGTATCGCATAGGTAACGCGATGCCACAGGGCTGGCCTAGCGTCCTCGCCAAGAGTGCGGCCACTAGCCACCACGATTGGCCCCACGCGTCTGGTTTCATCTACGCGTTCCACCCTCTTCCAGCCCCGTCTCATAATTGTCGCATGTCGCAATTCCCATGCGTGACGTCGTTGCGCTGCTGCACGCATCACCGTGAGGCTATCGCACACTGAGCCACCCAAGTTTCTCTCACCACGGCTGCTACCCCGCCATCATGAGGAGTACGGACCCCGCCTCCATGCACACGTAACCACGACTATACTAAGCGTGTCTAGCGGTGCTGCAGAGGGTCAAGTCGGCATCAGTCACGGTCGATGGCCAGTTGATCTCCTCGATTGGCAAGGGCTTGCTGGTCCTTGCTGCCGTCTCCAAAGACGACACGGAGAAGGATGTTGAGGCCATGGCTAGCAAGATACTCAAGGCCAAGCTCTGGGACGACGATTCCAAGGACCCGCCGGGCCGCGTATGAAGCCGATGCTTTTTCTCTCGGCTGAGACTGACATGCCAAGTGGAAATGCAACGTGACCGATATCCATGGCGAGGTTTTGTGTGGTATGTGTGAAACTCTATGACAGTGCTTTTGCTGCGGAATCGTTGTGCTGAATGTCGACAGTCTCCCAATTCACGCTACTGGCCTCTATGAAGAAGGGAAACAAGCCGGATTTCCACCAATCCGCAAACGGCGACCAAGCCAAGACACTATATCAAGCTTTCTTCAAGAAGGTCGGATCTCTCTATGAGTCCAACAAGGTCAAAGACGGACTCTTTGCCGCCATGATGGATGTTGCTTTGGTTAACGATGGGCCGGTAGGTTTGGATTATACCTGCCTAGATGGCGAGGTACAACTTAAGCATTACATTTCCTGAATGTGTGCCGCTTTGCTTGCTAATGCTAATGGACATTGCTAGGTCACTATCCAAATCGACACCAACCCACCGAAGACGGATGCTTCAACCTCGGGTGCTCCAAACAGAAGCAAGCAGCAGACAGTCGACGTTGATGACCGCAAGTAGCACGTATAGTACACATGCAGGCCTTGTACTAACTCTCGTTCAATCCGTAGTGGTCAACAACGTGACCAAGATCACGCAAGAATTCAAGATACCGGTAGAGCGACTTGAGTAGATGTCAATACAATCAGCCGCCGTGTTTACGATTATCGACTTGCTTGTACCGACGGCGCGTCGTGATCAACACAGACCCGGGTTATTGTCACCGCACCACCAGGAGACATTTACTGCTGGACAACAACAATGCGCCCCGCCAGACAAATACAATATTCATCCATACATGCCGCCTCACACCATGCCCATTTCCACTGCATGTACAGACGCTGCTTATGTCAGACATACCGAACGTGCGCATGGGTTGCAACTCCAACCCGAGGATAGGGCTTGCCCCCGTGCCGATGCGCCACTGTCTTAGCCGATATGCAGTTGGACAGAACCTTGCACATTACGCCCGGCAGCACGGTAATTAACTAGACTCGCGAATGACGGCGCGGCATGCAGTTGGATTGAGCACCCACGCTGTTTGAGGTAGGGTATGCGAAAGCTATTAACTCGCTGATAGATTGAAGCACTCTATGCCAGTGACAGACCTATAGGAGAGCACACGGCTCTTCGTCGTCAGCACCGTCTAAATTCGTCGAATGGTTTTTAAGCTACAGCTTTGCCCTTGGCCAAGCACGACGAGCCATGATCATGTCTCATCGACAAATACTATCTCGCATGGATAAGTTGCTCGAAGATGGGCGCCTCTATCTTACCGCCAAGCTACCGTTGCAAGGCCTTCAGGTGACGCCTGCATGTCGATTGGTGGTTGGGCAGCTATCTAGATACCACCAAAGCGTGTGTAATGCCCTGAAACACCTGAAACGCATCCATTTCGAACTCGCTGGGGTTTTTGCTGACAGTGACACTGACGTGTGACTGTATCACACGCAACACACACCTCAAACGGACGTGTGGACTAGATTGCAGTGACAACCTATTCGAAGCTTGTCTGGCGCCTCGTCAACTCCACGTCTTGCTTCGCACCACAAGCTCCATTGCGGAAGTGGCAGTGTTGATTCTGAAAGAAGGACCCCTTCAACACGCATTCATGACAGTGGGCTGACTGACCCGCTACTTCCGGTGAAGAGACAAGGTTTATTCCTGCTTCTGCTTGGTAATACCTTCAACGCTTACCACGCCCATGAAGCTTCAGAATAGATCAGGCTTCGATGTGCCCACCACGTCAAGTATTCTGTCTGGTTTCTTCCCTTCGATAGTTGCACTTTCGACCTCTTTCACCACTCATTCAAGCCCACGCAGCTGTTGGCTTTTCCTCCACGCCGCTTCTCGTGAGTTAAATGCAATTCAGCCTGAAGCTCGAAAATTCCTGATTCGACATGTCTCTTGTTGGTCGACTGCACAATCGGAAGCTATTGGACTTTGAGGGGCGCGTATCCCGTAACCGCTCGGAACGTTGGTCCGCCATCGTGGGTAAAGGGTATCGGAGTAAATCTTGCTGGCTTATAAAATGTTCAAAGGGTAATTCTAGTCCTCAAAGCTGATTTCGAACGGCGGCCGCATTGCTCGAATGTCATCTCACGTTGGGAGCGCAGAATCCATCAACAGGCGCCGCTCGCGGGAGACACTCTCTTATATGCTTCGATCGTCTAATGTCGCATCTTCCGCGCAAGCCATGCAGCTGGATTATTACCAAATTAGGGTTGTTGATGCGAGGTTTGGCTTCATTCGATGCTCAACCCTGGTTTGCATCGGGAAAACCAAAGGTCTCGGCTGAAGTCCACAGAAGTCGTTGCGTGTTATTCGTGAAACGGACCATCTTCATAAGTCTGCTCACCCAGACTCCAGCATATCCGCATACAGATTGAGAGAGCTTCCAATAACATCCACGATAGCCCAAGTTTGAGATCCTTTGAAGATCATCGCCCAGACCCTGAGCACCCCCGCGCTGAGATGTCGTGTAAAGTTGGGCGAGTCGGGCGTAATATCGGCGGGTACGGCAAACTCGGTCTCATCCAACATGCTTTTCACGATCGCGATGATTCTGTGCTCGTCTTCTGTGATGGGTCGGTCTGCTTCTGGTACCGACAGGGCTTCAAGCCACTTGCTCATGAGGTAGGCGCACTCGAGCGTGCACAAGGAGTGTTGGATGCTCCAGATGAACGATTGTGTCTTTGCTACGAGACGATAGCCGATCTTGATGGGTATGGAAAGTGCGTGAGCCGAATGGAGCACAGCTCTTGTGATCTTTGGCGAGCGTCTGATTGTAGGTCCGGCGCGGAAGGCGTTGGCAATCAGCACCGGGTCGCGCGTCTCTAAAGCTCGACCTGCGGTGTCCACGTAGAGTCGTATGTATGCCAATCGAAGCAAGGCAGTTGAGTTGAAAGCGACAGGACCGTTCTGCGACATCGGATCCAGCGATGATTCGGGATTTTGGCGCCATCCTGTCTGCCAGTTTCGCAGAGCGTTCTCGAGCGACGCGATGTCTTCTGCGCTCAGATCACCGGGTCCTTCAAAACGACATCGTGCCACTTGTCGGAGGAAGAAAACATGCTGTATCAGGGCGTGTATCAACGCGTAGTTTCCAGACGACGAGTTGACCTCGGTGACGTCGCGGCCTTGCTTTGTAAATAGACGTTTCAATGCATCCTGGAACAGGACCTCAGGCGCACTTTTCTTCCTCGCTTCCCTCCATAAAGCCTCTGTAGGAGCCTTGAATTCAGCGGCACTGCATGGCAAGGGCAACTTGACCTCGCTCGTTAGCATGAACGGAGGAATGTTGTAGACAATGCAGTGGAGATTGGAGAAGCCATAGACGATGAACTTGGTCCTTTTGATCGTTTCGCGCCGAATCCAGTCCGACCATGAGATGGTCTCATGGAGAGGTTCGGTCTCGAGTCCGTCGTCACGGATAAGGGTAGCTAAGATGCTTTGGATTGCTAACGCCTCTCTGAGAATCTCTTTGTGTTTTGCCCAAGTGCACAGTGCCATGAGCAAGAGTAGTGCCTGAGCGGTCTGCATGAGATCTTCGCCAAGGATAGGAACATCAGCCTGGGAAGGTAGACCCAGCGGTCCCGAGACGGAACCCTTACGTTGAGGGCTACGAGGGTCGCTCGGATGATTGTGGGGCGACGAATGATCCGACTCAGAATGATGCTGGAGCTGCACCAGGCGCGTGTCCCGTTTCCTGATACGGTGCGTCGCGATTGCTTTGCTTACGTTGAACAGCTCGACACCCTTTTCGCCCTCGAAAGTGTATTGCGCACCGATAGCTGCCAATGCTAGGAGTAGCTCTATCGAACATGTCTTCACGGACATCGTGGGTATATGGAGGAATGGCATGTGCTCGTGGAATCCGTTGATATACGCAGCAATATATCTGCACAGTGCTAATCGAGTTGGTAGGACGAAGTCGCTGGGTATGACCATGGAGAAGGGCTGGAGCATCTCGAGAATTTCCTGACGATCCTCGTGTGAAATATCTGCGAATGATCGTTTCCGAGCGGATTGATCGTCAGGCTGCAAGGAAGGAAAACGAGAGCCGAATCGTGAAAGCGACGGCGGCTCTTCTAATTGGGTTGGTCTCCAACCGTGTGTGGGTGCTGTTGCTCCCTCTGGCTCGGTCGCCATTTGTTGACCGTAGCCAAATGAGTCTGGAGAGAAGAACGGCATGGGCTGTTCGGTGTTGATCAGGGACGCAAAGTGGTACGAATTTAGTGGTTCACTGTCAAGGAACGAAGTGAGACTGTCCAGTGACTCTCCAAAGGTCGACTCATAGCTATGAGCAGACGGCTCTGTGAGCATGGTTGAGTGTGGGCCTTCAACACTCGCGGCGATCGTGCTAGCATGAGAAGGCATTGGGGTTGGCATCGCATCATGAGCAGAGCCGTTTGCCATGTTACCTTGAAGAGCTTGATACTCGGCAGCCATGGACAATGCTGTCAAAGAGTAGGGGCTGTGGTGCCCGAAGGTCATGGAGGCGTGTGACATTGCGGGTTGTTGCGAGGATTGCATGTCCATTACAGCAGGCGAGGATATCATACTGGGTATTTCGGGCACTGGACGTCCAGCATCGAAACTTGACCGCATGCGCTTGTGCGGCCGAGTCTCGACCGAGCCATATGCATCTCCAGCGGGAGTATGCTGGTGATTCTGCTGTGTACTTTGCTCTTTGCGATGAGTGAGTCGCTCATGGCGAACGAGCAGGTCACTTGAATTGAGTTTTTAGCTGCTGCCGTGAACGACGCTGGACGTATCGTACCTGCGTGTGAATGAATAGTTGCATGCTGCGCAGCTGAAGGGCTTCACACCGCTATCTTGACGCATGTTAGAATTGGCTTACGATGCGAGCCGCACGACTTACGAATGCGCTCATGACGCTGGAGATGCTCTAGCCTAGCAAAGGCCCGTTGACAGTGTGGACATTGGAATCGCTTTTCCTTCTTCCCCGGTTGA